AAGTCATTTTTCCACTAAGGCCTTGTTATACAGGAGAGAATCAATGTTCTTTGTTTTGTACGGCGTCTTATCTGTATTTTCTAAATATCCTGCCAGTGATTTAAAATAGAATGTGTAACAAAAGCTCCAGTGTCTACTATTGCTGGGTTATGGGCTTTCACAACTTTTGACCTATAATACTGTATTATGCCTGTGTACAGACATAAACAGACAGGATGGCAAAGCGTGACTAACGTGAAACAAGTCAGCAGTCAGCACATGATAGTGCAGTGTGCAAAAACTTCACACTGACATTTGGGCAATGAAAGCATTTCACTGATCTCGCTAAAACCAACTATTTTGCAATCCTCTGGTGTTGTTAACATTTGTTGTAACCAAATCCACAGAAACACCAAACTCTGGCAAATAATGAATGTCTAATGCAGCTCTTGTAACAAGATGTTTCAAAGTGTGTTTCAAAATAACTTTTAAAGGCCATTATTAAGTGTCTAATGGTCTTTAGGCAGATAAAACTAGAGTGTGATGAAAATGATACCAACTGGTAAAACTGGTTGGGACTTTAACAGAGCAGTGAACTGATGCGACCTGAAACTGAAATGTTGTAATCTGATGTCCCGTTTTGAGGGGGGCTGTGGTAATACTCGAAGATGTGGATCAACCCATTTTTTAATGATTATTTCTGATTATAATGGATCATTTTGAGTTTTTCATGCATGCTGAACATGAAAGTGATCTCCTACACCTATCTCCTGCATTAGCTTTTGATAGACGGCAAAACTCTAGGATTTAAAAGGCCTGACAGATCTATGTCACAATGTCACTTAATATTCAGTAAGTTGTGTGTTTGCTTGTAAACCTGCAAATGTTTCTTTGTTATATTATATTGTACTATTGGTTTTAATTTCTCAATTTCTCATTCATGGACTCACCCATCTTAACTCACAATGGGGAAGGCTGTTGCTGGATTAGCATCCAGGAAACTGCAGAGAGCGTTAGCCAGTAGAAGCTAACCTTTAGCATTAGCAACTCCACCACACAGCAGAAGCTCCTTAAGGCTTGTGTTATTACTAGGGATAAACCATTAACGTAGCAGCACTAACCGAATTAGTGGTAGAGTGTTGGTGATGTTAGCCAATCAGAGGTGTGATGTCCAAATATCAGGAAACAAGAGTCCAAATCCTGCTGTCTGAAGCTTTTTCCTCCAGCTGAGTTGTACTTCCGGTTGTCCTCACCTAGGTGTGCTACTTCTTCTGTGTTTCCTAGGGCTGTAGCGAAGCCTCGACGACGTCGACGGCTCGATTCTAAAAATTTGTCGACGTCAGATCCGGAAGTCGACGCACCGCGCCCACTTGTTGCATCCCCAGGAGTTTGTAAATAGAAGAGGAATCTGCCCGTTTTTCCTCTAGTTCGCCCTCTTCTCCGCCTTCACTAACATCTCCGCCAAATACCGAAGACCCGGAACAACGTCCGTCCCCTACTAGATTATTTTCCTGTTTTGCCCGCCTTCGTCTCCCGGCAACGGACAACAACTTCCGGGGTCAGATGCGCTGCTTCATGTCTATCGCAGATGTAGAAAATCACCGGGAGCGCTTCTCCCTTCATTAAGGAGCTTCTTTCAGACATGAGGAGAGCTGTTTTGGTGGTAGCAGTCTCTCCTCCATGCTGGTCTGTTTGCTGCCGGGTGTTTTTGGTTTATTTAAACTTGGTAACTTGAACTTAATGTTGGTAAAGCTACTGTTAGCATCTTCGCTAACAGCTTCTTGCGTTGGGATAAGCTGTTACGTTTTGGTTTAGAGTTCATCTTTTTTGTGGTGCAGATCTCCCTTTTATTACATTTAGAGTGTTGTGGGTTTTCGGTTTAGTGTAAAATACCACCTGAGTTTGGTTTAACCCGTAACACCACTCGCCTCACGCTCTTAAGTGACCAAAACAAAGCAGCATGGAGACACTCCATCTTCTACCACCTCTCAGGCAGCAGCCGGCACTCCCAAGTTCTACACGTCACCAGAACATAACCAACCAACACAATAAACGCAGTGTTATACAAAATGGAAGGCCTGTAGTGTTTTTTCTCTTACAGTAAGAATTTATCAATTTTTTTGAGGAATTTATTTGAGATTTTCTGGTTTTTGTTAATTGTGCAATAGAAAAATAATCATTAGATTAATTTTCTAAATAGTCATTAGAATAGTCGACTATTCGATAAAATAATCGTCAGAATAATCGTTTTAAAAATAATCGTTTACCCCCAGCCCTAGTGTTTCCCCTAGTGACGTGACATCATGCTGCTCATGGGACCGCCCATTTGCCATTAGGGATGGCAAAGAAACTGTTTACGCATATTGAAACCCCTTTAAAGCTACTCAAAGAGAGCCAGCTTGTAGCTTTATAACGCTTTGTTTTAGTTCATTTCACAGTCAAATGCGAACAGTTAGCTGTGCGGTTGGCTGCACTAACAGACAACGATGTAAACTCAACTTGTCTTTTTTCTAATAACTTTGATGGAGACAGAAAACAGGAATAAACTGCAGCAATTAATCAAACGGACTAGCAGTCCTCAAAGTATTTTCAGATTTGAAGCAAACGAGTAGGGCTGCAGCTGTTGAATATTGTAGTATTGGAATATTCTATCAAATCCTCCATTGATTAAACAAATATTCTATATGATGATATTTCAAGTGAAATGAGATCATGGTATATCATGGTTTGGTCACGCACATAAGTGACCAAAACAAAGCAGCACGGAGACACTCCGTCTCCAAACACCTTTCAGGCAGCAGCCTGCACTCCCAAGTTCTACACGTCACCAGAACATAACCAACCGCAACACAATAAAAGCAGTGTTATACAAAATGGAAGGCCTGTAGTGTTTATTCTCTTACAGTAACAATTAATCATTTTTTGAGGAATTTATTTGAGTTTTTTTGGTTTTTATTAACTATGCAATAAAAAAATAATCATTAGATTAATTGTCTAAATAGTCATTAGAATAGTCGACTATTTGATAAAATAATCGTCAGAATAATCGTTCTAAAAATAATCGTTTACCCCAGCCCTAGTGACAGTGGCCAAAGGAATGGAAAACAACACAATAGTGAAACTTATTCAGTACGTACTGTTTCCTAATTTGATAGTGTTACTGTATGCTAGTGTCACCGTTTGATAGTGTTACGTATGTTACATTGTTGCAATAATATTTTTAGAAGACCGCTTCCGCTATCTCGTCACTTCTGGAAGGGGAGTGCCTAGCCGTTCGCAGCTCAACTAAGCTATTTACAGGTTTCTAACCTCAGTTTGATTAGAATCAGTGTAACTTCGGCCCGACTAACAAGTTTACATGCATTTTAAACTAATACAATAGTTCAGTTTTCTGATGCTGATGGTAAACACATTGACAAGTTTAGGTTTCCTTAAATAAAATACTGTAATCTTCTATAATTATTGAAAGACCACCCTATAAGTTACTATGAGTACACAAAGGAAGATCTATTTATCTAACCCAAATGTGATTAGTCACTGCAATCTCAAGATATACAGACAACACCTTAACCAAAATGTCTGAAAACCGGATTGATGGCAACTTGTAATTCAATGAACCAACAGGAAACCAATGAGATGCACTTTGTTTGAAAAGATTCTAGATATGTAAGTTGGGGCGGGAACTGAAAAGCAACAAGGTATTGCATACCAATGGCCCTATCCAGCTATTGTTCCTGAGAAGAGCATTCAAGCCTCCCCTTACTGATGGGGTGGGGGCTGACCCCTCTCTGGTTTACAGCCGGCTCCTCTAGTCAGCAGGTAAATAACACAAAACCTAGCCTAGTGAACTAGACCAAATTCTTGCTTTGCAAAGTTTGGTCTAGGCATGCTCCATTGGAACCTCAGCAGCTCCTACCAGGACTCTGGCTAGCCAATCACAGCTCTCTAGAGGGGTTTCAAACACATGAGCTGCGATTGGTCCATAATGGTGGGCCAATCATAGTGCTCTATCTGCTTAGTGAACAAATCACAGAGCTTTATCCGCTTTGTGGGCCAATCAGGGCACTCTATATGCCTGGTGGGTGGGATGATGCAACAGAGTGAAACAAGAGTATGTCACATTCATTGTCCAGTGGAATGCGGAGATCATTTGAAAGACAAATACATAATACATTTATTTAGTCTGGCTTGCCAGGCTACACAAAACCAGCTGATGAAATCAAACTGACTTATAATTATATTAATTATATACACATTAATATTACAGCTGAAGAAAAAAGGATGATAAATAATCTTAATCCGTGGCCAAATAAAAGGGACCCAGACAAAGCACTGTACACAAACACCACAGGAATTCAAGAGTGGCAATCAAAGGACTTCTGAATCAAATGGTCCAGTTATTAATTTCACAAAGGTAGCAACATTCTGACGCAACCAAACACATAAAAAAATCCTATCTTCTAAATATAACCCAAAGCCACAGCAATCATGTAGCAATATATTTAGTTTTCCTTCCATATCTGGAGCACAAGGATCAGTGTAATCTCTGAATTTGAAGCAATGTAGCAACCCACCCAGTCCACAAGATGAAGAGTCTTTTAGCAAAGCCTCTGAGTTGGATCACTACCAGAAAACTAAACCCTGGGTCCTTTAAGCCCAAAGTCAACAAGCCTAAGCTTTAGTCCTTTTTGAAAGAAAACAAGTCTTACCAAAGCAAGGCCAGTCGTATCTGCACACATTGCAGATGAACAGGTATTTGGTTCATTTTTGTTGTCCTTTCAGATTCCAGCTCTGTTCACTCACTCTCTTACTTGTTCTACCAAACAGCCACACTAAAGCTAAGAGCTAGTAGCACTTTCACTTCACAAAGCCCAGCCCCCCATCTACACATCACTACTACTTCCCATCAGCCTGGGAGGATGTGATGCAACAACTTTCCCCACTTTTCTCTCTGATTTCCACCTGAAAGCCAGTATGGGAGAGGAGATCAGATGGTACGTTACATTACAATATTCTCCTACCAGAGTCTGAATCTTTCTGGTTTCCATTTGCTCCGGCAGTGAAGGGGAGTTTCCTTTTAGGTGCCTTTTCTTTCATCTCTTTGACCCCATCATTGCGATCCAATTTGGGAGTCTTATTTGACAACACTTTATCCTGCAAAAGAGGCAAAAACAAACATGATTACCAAAATAATCTCAACAGTTTAGAGCTAAAAATGCCTTAATTGGATTAGCAGCTTGGTTTTAAAGTAGCAAAAATACCTAACTGAACACTAGGGCTGCACAATATATCGCAAAGATATCGTTATCGCAAAATCAGCATGTGCAATATGCATATTGCAAATAACAGATAAATTCGCAATGAATGGTCAGCTCAAATGTTTGCTACACATAATGCATTCTGTCCATAAAATGGAAGCATGATGTTTTTTTTAACAAATCAAATAGAGCTCTTCACCCATTTGGCCAATTGGGTGGGTTCTCAAAGGTTAGATGTCCGCCCCTGAGGCGGACAGCACATTAATGTTGATGGTAAGCAAACACCTGAGTTAGCTTTGTTCTGCTCTTTCTGCTGATTCTGCTTTTCCCACGATCCACTGACTGCCTTTTCTTGTTCATTTTCGTTTTCCCTTTTCTCATTTTTATGATTTTTTGGTAATTTTTTTATTACCTTGTTTTTGACTATTTTTGTTCCTGAAGTTTTTATTTATCGCAAGTAATATCGTCATTGCAATATTAGTCACTGTTATTGCCTATCGCAGGTTTTCCTAATATCGTGCAGCCCTACTGAACACAGAAGAAAAACAGGACGCATCTGGACCCTGCAGACCTCATTCAGTGCCCCAACTTCTTAAACTGCTACAAGCTTCTGAAAGCAGCTTTTCCATGAAGTTTCTCCTAGATTACTTTGCCACAGCAAAAGAGACACGCATGGAGAAATGAGGCCAAGCAGACGCCTGCTTCATTCTGTGGTCTACAGCTGCTGGAAACAATCACAGGACCGAGCATAACTGCTATCAACAGATGTACACACTTACGTGTTTTTCCAACTCTCGTCTCTGTTGTGCTGGGTTAGTGACTTGTTTATTCTGACTAGTGGCCTTATAACACTTGGGATTACTTGCCTGCAAATTGTTTTGTGTTAGGGAGCATTACAAAGAGACCTTGTTCAAGCAGATTTGATATTAACTCAAATAAATTTGTTTAGCAAATATCAAGAGTACCTTTGAACTGTACATTTTATAATAATTTGAAATAAATGCAGTAATCAAATTTAACAGAATAAAAAATACTTAAAAACCAATAATAAATGTGAAATTATTACAACGTGGCACTTCCTGTACCTGGTAAACATGTAGCATAATTAAGGAAGTGCACAAATACATTTGTTTTGTGGGTAGTTAGTAGAAAATGTGGTGGTTTTAAAAACAAACAACAGTCCTTTTGACACAAAAACATTAAAACTAGGCCTGATGTGCTTTTGTTCCCTTTTTAAAGAGGAACAGTGCCCCCTAAAAGAGCTGCTGTTCCTCTTTGGAAATACTAAAGCTTTTCTGAATTAGTGCCAAGCAGCAGCCTGGCTAGGAACTAACATGGTAGCTAATATTTTCAGGTGTTTTACATGCACATATGTAGCCACATTCACAGAGGCTGCGATAGCATCAGATGACATCACAAATGTAAAAATCAGCAGCTGATGGTTAACATTTGGTCCAAAGCAAGAGGCATTTACTAAAAATGTTAATATTATGGCAGTTAATTCTTCTCTATAAATATTTAAACAACATGACAGACAGTACAAGATATTTTTAGTAACATTTAAAAAGGTTAAAGGGGTGAAAGTGGAGATGACGTTGCACAATACACACTCTATTTAACCTTATTTTTCTGTCATACCTTCAGCTCTTTTCTCATCTGTGTTTATCCTAAGGGTAGGCTTCCTACTATGTGTCAACTCTTTGAACCCCTCCCCCCTGCCCTGCCCCAGTCATAAGACTATGATGTCATGGTACAGTAGAGACAGAGTCAGCTACAGTGGGAGGTGGAGAGGTGCAGTTTTTGCTGAACTAAATGCTAACAAATCTTTAACAACTTTAACTTTCTTCAGACAGTCCTGCACATTACATGTTTGGTGATCTTTGCGTAACGACTGCTTTTATTTTGAGCCTCACCATGCTTTTGACTCAACCCTGTGCACTCCCTCTCAGCTCACTCTCACCCGCCCTCCCTCCGTGCCACAAGTCTGATGCAATCCTTTGCAGAGAGCTGCAAACCCATGCCTGCATAAGCAGCACCTCTCTCTGCCAGTTTGTGTTGATGGGTTCCCAGTTGGTACACACTGTGACATCATCAAGCTGCACCTAATAGTTTCTATTTGCCTATCCGCCTCTTTTTCCAAGTTCCTTATGGAGAAACGACGATGTGAGCAACATTTGGGGAGATACCAGAAGTAGCACATACCCACTGGTTTGTTGCTAGTAGCGGTTTATTTGAACATTTGAAGAGGAGTTGAATTGATTTAGTGCACACACACACAGAACACAAAACTATTTTAAAAGTAAAACTTTATTATCCTGTTACTACATTACAGCAATTGAACCTAGTCATGCCGATTTAAGATATTTTTCATTCAACAGGGTGTGTCCAGACTCACTGTAAACCATCTAGTTTCTAGTTCACTTGAAGTAAAACATCTTGCCGGGTAGGTTGTACAACTGTCTTTAACCAGTCAATGCTTCTAACCAAGTTTGTTAAATTCTAACTGGTATGTGTGTGTCTACAGGTACAAACGTTGGGCCTTGAACTGTTTGGTATGTGCTCCAACAAACAGCTTAAATAAAAACAATTCAAATAAAACAAAAATAAAGACTGTTGTCAACTTCAATCATACTGCAGTGACCAGTAGAAAGAAAACTGACGTCTGGTGTAATCCATTTCTTTGTATTCTGATTATTCTTTCCTGGTTTGTATTTCACCTATGGTGATGGTGGCATTAATGTTTTGCAAAACAACCACCATAAAGTAAGTCGTTTTACAAAACAATGCCTTTGAGCACCGAATGCTCCAGCATTCTTTTATTTCATGTCATTGTTCTTTGCTGTGGAGCACCAACTGGTGACTGGATTATGCACAGAGGATCTCAGAATTTGTTTATAAGTGGTCAGGCCGTGGCAGTAATGTAGCGCATTCGTGTCCTTTTTATAAAAGAGTAGGTGATGGTGGCATAAAGGTGGTATGGGGCGGGTTTTGCAATGCCGCGGACTTACGTTTATCTTGGACATAACTTACTTTTTATTGCGATTGAAGCCGCGATTGTTACTTTTTTTTTTAAACAACTCGCTCCTGAAGGTGTCTATCCCCATCAGTCCCTGAGCAGTCTCTGATGATCTGAGCTTCAGCTCTAACAGAGCCATCCCAGCTGATTCTGTTCAAAAACCAAAACTTATTGCCAATGTTTACTTTCATTTTCAATTTATTTGCTGGCCGGAGCTCGGTATTAACTCTCCACGTCATCATGACACTTGCCTCTGTTGAGCGATGGCGCAATAACCATTTATAAGACAGACCATTACCGCAAGATTACTATCATCGAGGCGAAATCAATGTAGGAAAATTCGCGCAACGCCATGCTAGCATGGCGCCTTTATAAGACACACCGTTGAGGTAAAATTACCTCGATTTGCCAGCATGGTGCATCTTGTAACAAGGGCTGTACATAACATAAATATCGGTGGATACAGGGAGCCCAAGACACCCCCATCTGCTTCCGGACCCGAGATCCCAAAAAGTGAATGGGAATCTATGGGCTAATAAAAGATATTTTCTGCTCCTGTTTGATATGTGCCATGGATTAACATTTGATGTCTGCGAATATTAACGACACAGATATTTTGGTGCCAAGAAAGTACTTATTTTTAACAGGCAGCCAACATTACTTTAGGTCATCTGTGAAAAGACACAAAGAATTCCAAATGTTCATCTCACCAAACTGGCGTCATCAAACCATACAAGGAGAAGGAGAGTTTAGCGAGCTTGGAATCCTCCCGGGATGAAAGACGGAGAAGTCAACGTGGAGAAAACCACTATAAATCTGGCTATGTGGTGTCGCAGCTACGCTGGCGGTGAAGAGTTTTTGCTGTAACATCATATATGCAACATCTGTCACTTTAATTACTAATTTTCAAAAGCAAATTTCTCTCAAATCATGTGACAAAGTCGAAACACACATAATTATTTATAATTTAAATTGAAGTTAGTATGTGTGATTCAGGGTATTAGGCAAAGCGGATTAGAAAATAGCTTTTATAGCCCCGCTAACTTCAGTCATTTTTTATCGTTTAGAGGACCCATGAGCTGACCGGAAGGGGAGGAGACTTAGACGCGCCTGCGATTTTGAGAAGTCGCACGATAGTCACAGCATCACGTGGGACTTGAGAACAGGAAGTGGGAAGTGAAGTGACTATTGTTTATACGTGATCAGACTTGCCATTGTGTTTTGTGAAACTCAAATTCATTAACTCATTCACTGCCAGCCGTTTCCTGATCAGAAAAGCCCTTTGCTGCCAGCGTTTTTCACCATTTTTACTGTTTTCACAGAACGTTGTGCTCTATGATGATGTCAACGCCAAAACTACCAAAACAAAGAGTAGACTCACCTCTTACATCAGGAAAAATCTGCGCGTTTCGAGCGTTATCCGTTCTTTCATAATTCGTTGTCGAATTGTAAACGGCAGAAGTTTTTCTGGTTCGCGCCTCACTTTTTTTTACAGCAGCGGCCCAAAACGATCTCCTAACACATGGATTTTTTTAACTTCCTGATCAGGTGATGTTTGATGTGCGCGGAAGAAGATCTGCTTTAGAGATGGGATGTTTATTCTCGCGGTGCAGGGGCTCGTTCCGCCACCTACACAGTAAAAAAATGCAAATGACTACTTTATCGTCATTTGCAGTAAACGGTTGAATTTAAAATGACGACGTTTTGATGTTTTGTCGTCAATGGCAGTTAATGAGTTAAAATGGGTAAGTACGTTATTTATTTTAATATTTTAAGATCACTAGTACTTTAAAGTTATCAAAACTGTGGCTGGGTTTGTGCCGTAAAGCCGCTCTGCATCATATCTGTTGTAAAGTACTCCACAACGTTGTGCTTCAGCACCTCGGAGCGGCGCTTCTGGGACGTGGCGCAGCGCTCTCTGTGTACCCACTCTCATTTACTATAATGGCTGTTTTTTTAAATGACGGCGCGGGGCGGGCGCGACGAGTCTGCCTCTGGTGTGCCCTAGGCTTTAAGCTTGGTTTATGCTTGACGCATTCACTTTCCGCGCGGTGATGCGGCTCGCGGATGGAACGCGCTTCACAACTCGCAGTGTTTATGGTTCGTGCGGCTCGTCTCTGCGGTGAGCCAATATTCTCCCAAACTGAATGGGGCAGCTTGGAGCTCTACGGAAAACATCCAACACTACACCATGGTAGAAGTAGAAATTACTGTTTACAACACGGCATTTCAGCATTTTTAACAGCGTTCTCGTCTTTTCCGACAGTGCGAGCTATTTCTCTCCAAGAATTATTAACAACATGTTGATCACGGTGATCTCTGAGAGCTGAATCATACAAATGTCTGTATTTACGAACCTCTGCCATACTAGTTCTTGCCGGTCCGCCATGTTTTTCCGCGTCCGTCCGCGTGGTTAGAAATTTTCCGAGGTGCGCGTTGCGGAAATTCTGGGCCGTGCGGAGGCGCGGTGGAGGGGCGTGGTTGTTAAAATGACGCAACTTTTCCGCGCGGAGCCGTGCGGACGCGTCAAGCATAAACCAACCTTCAGGCTCCCTATTCCAGTCTTAAAAGCATTTGGCAAAATAAAATAGCCTGATTTAAGCAATAACATTAAAAAGGTACAGGTCATAATTTGTATTGTGTGACTGTAACAGGTTCATACCTTTTTCCCACCCTGCTTTTCAACCATGTCGGTGTTGAGTGGGAAGTGGTCCAGCTGGGGGGTTTTAGAACCCCCACCTTTGGGCATCGTTCAGCTCTTCCCACGCCAAGCTTCATTCACGCAGCCATTGCATCGTCATCAACCGTCTGCAACGCAAAGAAAAGGATAAGTGTCGTTAGTACCTGGTCACTCAGATTCATGAGATACCTGTTGCACTCTGCTGGTCAGCATAGACATTGCTAGCACATCAAAGCACCAATTTTAGTCCGGTGCAATGCTCATTTAAAAACCAGAAGATTTAAATTAAAACAATGTGATGCTATGGTAGACAAAAGGGGAATACGTTCCCCAGACAGAACCACACAACAAATGATGCTAGTTGATGTGTGATGATAAATGCTTGTAGAAAAACACCATCAACTACATGGCGTTTAAAGTATTAATAACACTGGTTGTATTATGACATCTGGGTAGACTAAGTAAAACGCAGCCTAACCCTATGTTGTGGGATACTAAGCAAACTCAAGGCGACTGAGGAATGTCTTCGAAAACATGACAGGCATGTCTAAACAAAAACCCAAACAGCCACTTAGAGCCATAGCAAGCAAATCCTTGTAATTGTAGGCTGTACCATGTATCGCTGTGCCACATACGTCCCTTTTTCACTAAAGAAGTTAGATCTTCTTACATCTACAGCACTATTAGTAAACGTTTAACAGGGTCAAGAACTATTTTAGTTTCTTTACAGTTTTCTAGTTTTTTTGCTGTCAGAGTAAGTACCATATGTATTATCGAGTCCCAGTTTTCCTTCACGGCCTTCTGTTTCACAGGGCTGTGAATTACTTATACTTTCCATCCCTACACTCTATATGAACACATTTTCTTCTGTGGGTGTGTTAAAGTACTATCGTCCCTCTAACAGACTGAGTGAACATGGTTGCATTATTTTGTTCCCCACTCTGAGACACTGGCACTCCTATCATCCCTGGCGCCACTTGCACCCCCCCCCCCCCAATCTACAGTTATCCTATTGAAGAAAAGCTATTTACATCTTTCCAGTCAAGTCACTTCGTCAGCAAGCCAAACCAGTTCCACACACCACTACAGTAGACAATGTACTTGCTTCCTTTACAGAATAAGAGCAACCGAAATTGTGAGCCTCGTCCCATTTGCTTCCACTTTGACACAAACAGGTAAGCTCCTGCCTCGTACTAGGGATGTCCTGATCAGGTTTTTTTTGCCCTCGAGTCTGAGTCAGAGTCATTTGATTTTGAGAATCTGCCGATACAGAGTCCCGATTCGATACTTTCGATACATAAAAAACAATAAAGAAAAGGAAAAAACAGTTCCAGAATGTTCCTTATTTTTTATTTCATTACCATTTTATTTTAATTTTTTAACAATAGATCACTTCTGTGAGGTAGCTTGAACAATCAAGTAATAAATAACATAAATTCTTCAAGGTTGGACTTTATTGCAAATATAAAAAGTCTAATACAAAAACAGATAGCACTTCAACTTAAAATACCTGGCAGGGGTCTATTTTGCCTCGGCCCCCAAAATGCTTAGATACGTCCCTGGGCATGGGACGGCATGGGACGGAGTTTTGAAGATGATCTGAATTGTATCAACTATATAAATACTACATGCTGATAAATGATTGCTTTATACAAGTACAAACGTGTAGTGGGATAAATCTACCCACATTTAATTTTTTTACGACCTTTGTTTTGTTTTCTTGGTTTTTATTTTCCTGTCTTCCTGTCCTGTCTGTCTCTGAACTTCCTGCATCTCCCAGTCCTCCAGAAAAACTCCTGCCTGCTCCCTTCTTTTTCACCTCACAAGTAACTTTTTAACTAGCAGATCAAATTGATCTATTGACCGCAAAAAAAGCGGAGTGTGCGCTGCGCTGCCCGGCTGCGCCAGTGACGAGCGCCGCAGCGGGGGCAGCGCCAGCGAGTCCACACGTCATGCTCAAATACAGACAGAACTTACCAGAGAGAACATGAACGGACACAAACGACTGTGTGTTAATTATGTATTTTTGGTGACGCCACTTAGAAACTTAGAAAATGTTACTGTGGCCGTGTGCAGAACGCAGCTGGAGTTCATGAATAATCAGCGGTCTGCTTGCCGCTCTCTGCATGCTCAGAAAAATCCCCGCTACGGTGAGTCCATATAAATAATATAATATAGGTAGAAACTGGATTTCTTTTGTGCTCCTTCTGGGTGTGGAAGTTAAGGGCATCAGGGGAGCCTGACAACCTTTAAGGAGAACCAAGTTGCTCTCCTGTAATTTGAACCCAGTATCCGAGTCCGGATCGGGAAGTAAAGCCAGAGTCCCGATCAGTCTGAAACCACGTGATCGGGGCCGATTTCCGATCATGTGTTCAGATCGGGACATCCCTACCTCATACCACACCAGACAAAGTGGCGGGAAGGCCAACTACTCTCAGAAATAAACTAATCTTGCAACAACACAGACAAACATCTCAAAATAGGTCAGCCGGTCTAGAACAATAATCTCTGCACCATTTTGGGACGACTATGATGCACGGTGAAAGCAACTGGGTATTTTGCTGGTATGCGAAACACAGGAAAATGATGTTTGAAGGGAAATATTTCACAAAGAAACACAGAAGTAAACCCCTGTTCAAAGCCACAGGGATCGTGTCTGTTGTAATCCCATCCATGTGAAGAGATTCTAAATATCTGCAGCCACCATGTGTCTTTGTATGTACCAAAGATGATTTCTTCCAAGTGTGCCTTTGTTTTTCATGATGATGATTTCATGATAGAAAAATGTCTATTTTGTTGGGATACCTGTCAACAGGGTCGACGTCTAACAACAGAAGTGCCTGATTACAAATGATGGTGATCGGCCTTGGCAAGAAAAGATCAGAAAAAAAACAACAACAACAGCAAGACTGTATTTTCACATTTGAAAGCAGAAAGTAAGTTCATAAATAAGTAAAAAGATAATTCAAATCAGTGTCTTGAGTTCTACATCTAAACAAGGCTTTACTGCTTTATGCTGATAGTTAAAACTTGTAAAACTCACTCACTGACACCACAACAGGAATGTTTAAAAGCTTCATGCATGATGTCAGCCAAGTTAAGCATTGCATAAAAATGATAACACGCAGAAGCAAGGCAAACTAGAAAAGCAATCCCTACTAAAAAAAATATCTGAGCCAGCCACTCTCCTACTTTAATTCTCTTTTCTCTACCTTGAATAAACACTAACCCTTTTTATGTCCCCTGTTCCTTTCTATCTACATCCTCTATCCTCAGAGCCACTCCCTCTGCGGTCAGATAGAGGCCAGCACTTCAGCATATTGCAGTATACTGTGCGCTCTCTCACAGATGCACTGGCACACACCACACGCTTTCTTACACTGGCATTGTTGACTTGAAGATTGTCAGTTTTAAGTTATTTAAAAGTCTAAAGCTGATACTGTTTCTTTTGGCATCATAAATGCACATTTAATGAGTCATGCTAAAGAAGAACTGGCTGTTGGAATAAAATAGGAAAACTATATTTCCATTTAATCAAGTGAAATATGTCCACCAAAGCCAGGCACATCTTCAAAATGCCCCTCTCACTTTTTTTTTGGCAATCTCATAAAAATTCAGTCATGATTTCTAATCATGTATCATCTGAAATTACTTACATTAACAAAAATATAAAGGCAACACTTTTGTTTTTGCTCCCATTTTTACGAGCTGAATTCAAACATCTGAAAGTGTGTCTACATACACAAAAGACCCATGACTCTCAAATATTGTTCTGAAATCTCTCTACATGTGTGCTAGTGAGCACTTTTCCTTTACAAAGATAATCTATCCCACCTCACAGGTGTAGCATATCAAGGGGCTGATTAGACAGCTTGAATAATGTACAGGTGTGCCTTAGACGGCCCACAATAAAAGGCCATCCTGAAATGTGCAGTTTAATCAAACAGCACAATGCCACAGATGTCGCAACCTTTGAGGGAGCGTTCAGTTGGCATGCTGACTGCAGGAATGTCTACCAGAGCTGTTGACCGTGAAATTAATATTCATTTCTTTACCATAAGACCACATGTGACCACACCAGCCCAGGACCTTCATATCCAGGATGTCTCCACCAGGATCGCCTGAGCCCAGCCACCTGGACAGCTGCAGCAACAATTGGTTTGCATAACCAGATAATTTCAGTAATGTCACACAGCTATTGGAGAGGAGTGGACCAACAGTCCACAGGCCACAATCAACAACCTGATAAACTCTACACGACAGAAATATGTTGCCCTGCGTGAGTCAAACGGTGGCCACATCAGATACAGACTGCTTTTTTGCCCCACCACCCCCCATAATGCAAAATGTGCGCATTTCAGGGTGGCCTTTTATTGAGGGCAGTCTAAGGCACACCTGTACATTATTCATGCTGTCTAATCAACTCCTTGATATGCTACACCAGTGAGGTGGGATGGATTATCTTCGTAGAGGAAAAGTGCTCACCAACACTTTGGCCACAATGCGAGTGACCACTACCAAAGCATGAAAAAAGTGTTTATTTAGCAGTCCTTCAATGCTAATTTATGTGTCATTGTGCACACGCAGACACAATCCTTTGTAGGGCTGCAGCTATCGAATATTTTTGTAATCGAGTACTCTATCGAATCTTTTTTTCGATTAATCGAGTACTCTAATAAATGACCCTTTTGTGTTTGTAAACCATTATATCATATATTGATGAGCCAAGATGGCGTCGAGTATGGCTGCCTCGTCGCGAGCTCCACCGAGTTCCAACATTACACACTCCATACTGTACATTAATGCCACTGTTTTGCACATACCAACCTCTGTACATTTTATATCTCTTATCTTATTGTTTACTTTATTCATTTGTATACTTAGATTAGCCATTTTTATATTTTACTTGTTTTTACATTACTGTATTTTTGCACAACTCTGTTGCTGTGAAGCTCGCACACAAGAATTTCACTCGCATGTACTGTACCAGTGTACCTGCACATGTGACGTGACAATAAAAGTGATTTGATATCAAATAGCATGTTATAATTATGAAAGACCTCTTAAAATGAGCAAGCAATTGCCAGTTATTCTTCAAGTTTTATTCAAAATTAGTTTGCATAACTTC